AAATTAAAGATAAGGAAATTATACTTCAGTTTATATACAATATACAATTAAAGAAATTATTCTTCACAGATGAAAGCAATCGCATTCGTCAGTCTTTTCGTCGTTACAATAACAGGACAGCTTCCTTCCAATTCAGACTACGACAAAATTTCGGAAATATATAAAGTTTTCAAATATATTTATTAATTATTCACAGTAATATTAAACAGCTTTAGAGTTTATCATCATTCCACAAATACTAATAACGTTCCGTCATTTTATTAACTTTAATTAAAGACAGAATTTAATAAAAATTACGAGAAAAACGAAGAACTCTCCAGACGACTAATTTGGGAAAAATTTTGGCAGCCATTATAAAACGTAACATTGAACACGATTTATAATTTCACTCATTTATAACGGGACTCAACAATTATTCTGATAGATCGATCTTAATTAGAAAGTTTTAAGGTAAGTTGTCTTGTTGATGAGAATGATTTTATATCTTTAGACTCACCAACAATTCGTACAGATAATGAATTGACTGAAAAGAGAATTGGCTAGTAAGGGAGATGGTGGTATTATGGAACCCTGCAAGTATTATGGAACCCCTCCATTTCAAACTGATAATAAAGGCGAACTGTAGCGTATTGTGGCTGAACTGCAGTAAGCATATATCCATAGCAAGGGGAAAACCCGTTTCATTTCAGTTAAACCAGTGTTTCTCAACCTCTAACGAATCGTCTCCCCTTTCAACGTAGTATCGCCCACTTCACTTCAAAATTCCGATGCCGAGGGCCAAGGCTAACGCCAAATTCGTACTGCATTGAATAGACTAGTGACTAGTATAATGTTATTTGTTTAATTATTGTACGATATAGCGAATAAAATATCTAATTATTCTTAATATAATGTAATACTATATCACCCAGAAAATTGTTTTCGCTCCCCAAAATATAAATTGTTACTAATCGCTCCCTCAACATGGAAAAACGCCCACATGGAGGCGATATTGACCCTGTTGAGAAACACTGAGTTAAACGATTGTCCGTAGTGAATTAGTATATTTGTGTTTTTCGAAATTCGAAAGTTTTGAATGCTAAGTGAATTTAATTATTTCTAAAATATAAATCGTGTAGGTTCACTGTTGCATGTATTCCGTTCCAGAGACTTAGGAGTACATATTAATCTGTGTGATGTTTACGTTTTTTAAAATTTGGTCTTGACAGACATAAGTTAATTCAAGATGGCGATGCGTGAAATACGGGCTCCATTGGTGCTTTTAATATGGAACCCGTCTAACTTTTGTAAAAGTATGTGGTAGATGAATAAAAAAATAGAAGGAAAATAATAAAAGTAAAAATAGATACCTAACACTATAGGAGCATTATATTTGTGATTTTTGTAAGTAATTAGCTTCTTCTTTGTACATTTCTTTATTGTTATTATTAAATCATTTCTGCGATAAATACATTGGAGTAAATAATTTTGTAATTATTTAACATTTTTTGTAGTTTTCTATTTGTTTTTGGATACATTAAAGCATTTTTTTAAAACATACAGTAAGGTTCCATATTACCACCCGGTTTTCCCTAAGCCTACTTTCTGACTTTTTGTACAGAAGCCTTCAAAAACCATACTTACAGTTACACTAGCGAAAAATCCAATTAGGAACATTTAGTTTAATAGTTACCAGTACTTTTCGTACAAAAAATGTGGGTGTAGTTATGATACCTTGTTTACAATTCACTATAATGAAAATAAGGTTCCATAATACCACCTTCTCCTCTATTGCAAAACCTGTTAGACGTCCGTGTTTATTAATAACTCCTCAACGATAGTGCTCGCGAGAAGAGTGCGAGATGTCGTCCCGTTTTTTAAAGATTGATATCCCCGTTTAGTTAGTTTCGGTTTCGTTTTTTTTCTTCTTGTTCTTTTCTCTGTGCAGTCAACTGTTTTGTGATTTATGTCCTTAATAATAACTTCAATAAAGTATTTTGAAGACATTGCTGGTATGTATAATTTGTCATCCTATCCTGCGCTGTGAACGAACGAATTATCATTGGCTTATCGAAACTGAAGTTAATGATAAAAGACCTTAATTAACCCTAACAAAACCTACAGTATATATAGTTTGACGAACCTTTCTAATGTTGTTTTGCCGGTTACAGTTGATTGGAGAAAAGAAAGATATGTGACACCAATCAAAGATCAGTAATAGGAGAATGTATAATTTAACGATTCGCCCGATGGCCACGTCGCCTTCAGACCAGTGCTGTGCGATGTCTATAATTTTAACATCGATGTTTGCTTAAGCATCGATGCTAAATTTCGATGTCGGATTTCACATCGATGTTTGATCGATGCCCATTGGAAAATCGATGTTCAATCAAGATAAACTCGAACAATTTAAAAAAAAAAACAAAACCGGATTTGTTCGAACAGAAGTTCCTGATGCATGCGCAATGTCATTTTACAATGCGAAGAATAACGTGCATGCCGGTTCTAAATCAGTTACAGTTACAGTTACAGGGACTAGGGACTTGCGTAGGAGTAACGTAAGTAACCTAAATTAAGAAAGAACAGGTACAGATAACTTAGCTCTATTTGATACGTGTACGATCGTACATGCAAAAAAAAGTCGACAGGGCTTTTTTACTATTTCCGCCCTGTGGGCACTAAGAGGGCCTTTTATAGCAGGCCCATTATGGGTTCGGCCAGGCCCACAATGGGGCGACCGGGTGGTGAGGGATGGGGCTTGACATATCCGAACAGACCACCCCCCGAAAAATTCCTGGGGATTCCTTGACCCGTCCGGATTCGATCCCGGGTCCCCCAGAGCGGTAGGCTGCCGCCTTGACCGTTCGGCCATCCGGCCTCAAAGTCGACAGGTTGCGCGCCACAAGTCGGCGTAAACAGACTAACATGGCAGAGTTGCGGATGAGTTTCAATGAGTGTGAGTTCATTCACTGTTAAAATAGTGTAAATTTGTAAACATATTTGCGAGAACTTTGTTTTATCGCAATTTCACAATTTCTACGAAATTCCCGGACTGTCCGGGTGAAAACCGAACAGGTGGTTAACACTAGGAACAAAGAATGAACTGCATGCATCGATGAATCAAAATTCACATATTGCTAACATCAATTCAGGTTCGATGTTTCAAAAACATCGGAAGGTCGATGCATCGACGAACAAAAACATCGATGTATTGATGTCACATCGATGCATCGCACAGCACTACTTCAGACTATCGCACGACGATCATCATTGACGAGACAGACACCGCGAGTTGTTGCTAAACACCAAATTGTTCCATTCGGCATCACACGTAGCTCTGGTGTAACAACATTCCAAGTGGTGACGTCACTGTTGACGGTAGACTTTGCAATGGACAAAGGGGCAGCAAACCTGCCACAGCCAATACGCTTACCACTGTCAGTATTTCAAAATTCGTGTACGGCTTGTATAATGTAGCCAGTTATGGACTGTGTCCACCTTCGAACGCGACAATCCGTGAACTATGACGTCCGTCTCCATGCTTTTTTGCATTCTTCCTTCCTGGGAGCACACTGCAAATTGTCTAATGCTATCACGTTTCATTTCTTCTGAAACACGAAGCAAGGAATCAACTAGCGATACAAAGAGCAACGATGAAATTTCTCAGGAACTTATCCGTTTGCCTAAATACGAACGACGACGTCTTAAAAATATTGCCTTTGCCATACACAGTAACAACTCACTTCTGACGCCCGTCAAGCCATTTCGGCTGACGAATTTACGGGCTGTTGTCTACCAAAAGCATATCTCGCGCGCTTTTCGTATGATTGGCTCGAAAATGCAACCGTTAGCATAACGGTTGCATTTTCGAACCAATAACTGGCACTCATCAACTTGCGTAGCATTATATTTGTATATTTATGATGTGATATTTTCTTTGTTAGGCAGTGTATTTATATTATAAAACCGTAGCCATCTGTCCCGAAATGCCCCTTCTCTGCAATTCATGTACTGTACACAATATACTTTATATTTGCATACAGATCAAATATAATAATTATCATTTAAATACATACGAAAAATCAGTTTTAATAATTCTATTTATTTCCCATTTATTGATTTATATAAGTAAATTCATTCTTTGTTAATTTTCAAAAATGATATTAGAAATATTCTTTCATATAAGAAATAACGATAAAAAACATTCGCTTATTGTCTTCAACAGAATTTTTTACATCACAGGATAAGAGGCCATAGTCGCAATGCCGCACGTATCGTCCCTATTCCGAGCAATCATGAAATACCCTTTAATACCCCAACTTGTACCCCAGCTGGAAAAAGTAGAAAATAGTTTTACAAACTTTCTGAGTGTTGAAAAATTTCAATTTCAAGTAGTAATTTTGCTTTATTTGTATATTCCTACCTGTTTTTAACCAACCAATAATCTGTTCCGTTTTTAGTTGTTCCGTATCCAACTACCAATGCACCGTGATTTACATCTATGCGGTCACAATCATACGAGAAATAAACACCACCGCTGTTATAAATAATCGAAGTAGAATTAATTAATAAATACGAATAATATGATATAATAAATTGTATATGTATATATAATAATTTTATAATAAATTAATACAAATGATTTGCCGAGAGTGCCGTTGCCAAAAATGACAATTAAAATATTTTGTTAAAATTATATATATTTACTGGTAATCTTGGAAAGAATCTTGACTGGCATCTATAGCTACTGAAATTGGACCAATGATTGCTACAGCTTGTTTCAAGGCTTCTTCGTCATATTTATGAACATCCACGAAATTGGTACAAGTAGCACCCACAGACGAACGTTTAAATCTGCATTCCTTCTCCTGAAGGAAATTAAAAGAAATTACACACAATTCTCTTTTTAGGAACTGCATATGTTCCTGAAATGTTCGTGTAAAAGTATTGAAACGTGCAAGAATTATTTTTGCATCAATTATGTACGCTGATGCAATTATTTCGCGGCCAGATGGCCGAGCGGTCAAGGTGGCAGCCTACCGCTCTGGGGGACCCGGGCTCGAATCCAAACGGGTCGAAAAATCCCCAGGAATTTTTCGGGGGGTGGTCCGTTCGGATATGTCAGGCCCCGTCCCTCGCCACCGGCAGCCCCATTATGGGCCTGACCGAACCCATAATGGGCTTGCAAAAAGAGGCCATCTTAGTGCTCACAGGGCGGAAAGAGTTAATTTTTTTAAAAAATGCAATTATTTCATGATACACTTTACGAGTTAACCGAAATATATTTTATGCAATACCTTACTACATTGTGTAAGAAACATTAAAACACCAATTAAGCTGTGTTTTTCGATTATAATCTCCGGAATTTTTATTCTAATTTTACAATATGTTTATTAATTTCTGATATATTCTAATATTTGCCATGATAAATGTTAATCACGTAATCCGTGTCATAATTGATAAATCATTTAGGTCTACTCTAATAACAAAATAAAGCCCATTCTCATAAATTATGATATCTTTTAGTAAAGTTATCCGATAATATTATAATCCTTTCGAAAGCTTTTAAAATCTCTCGAATAATTTGACAATTTCGTGTGTCATTTCACAAGTATTTTTTACATTTTGAAATCTTGAACTATTTGTTGTAAATTTTGCAATATTTCTACAATCCTTCGCTCACATAAACAACAAGAGTTGCAAAATAAAATAAAGATTAAAAATGACAATTTATTTAAACGTGTCAAACCGTGTAAAAACAAAAGTACTGTATCTGTAATAATATGAAAAAATAAGGTTAGTATAGCATAATTATGAAAAGATTCTCACCGTAGATTCGTACGGATAAGAATCTTCCGTGTCGATGCCTTTATTTGCCATTACATAGATAAATGCCTGATCCATCAGTCCTCCATAGCAACCTTCATTACCTTTATAATAAACAATAATTAAAGATTATTCTCTTTTGTATTTTAATATAAAATATCGTACTTGATGCTTTTGTTTGAAAAATGCAAGATTAGAGTACTGTATAGCAAATCCCGAGGCTTAATACACTTTGCCTTCAGTATTTTATTGTGAATTTTATATTCACTTTAAAATTGCAATAAAGCCATTGTAAGAATCCCTAACAATGAATAACACAAAATGGAAAATCCACGATAATATTGTGAAATGAATATCAATCTATTAAATAATAATTTAACTTATTACTTTAAAAGGCTTTCGGAAATATTTTGTCATTTATTTAAACGAAATATAATTAAAATTACCAACAATAAAATAACATTACCGGACCCCCAAGAACAGTCTATCAAATTCTGTTCGCTCAAAGAAACCAGTTTACCAGTTTTCTTTTTGTGTTGACCTTCTAAAGATCCGGTGGCCGAAAAAGCCCAAGAAGCAGGACATAAATACTAAAAGGTAAACGATTTAAAATTAGTTTAATTAACTTTATTATAGAAAATTGTTGAATAATACTTTCTTGTATACTTCATTTTTGACTGGCGTGACGTATCCTTTTTCTCTCCAGTCAACTGCGTCTGGCAAAATTACATTAGACAGGCGCGTGAAAGTATATAAGGGCTTAGAAGTGATATTCACTGGTCTTTTCAGTCCATTCATTTTCTGTACGAACTCTTCGTGGGTCTAAAAATAGAAAATTATTAGTTATTACTCACGCATTGTATAGTTTACATAAAAACATTTTAATCACAATTGTCGTATTTAGTACCATATCAGAAAATTGGTTGAGTCCTCTTGTAAACGTGTGCAATCCTAAATCGTATTCAATGTTATGTTTTGTAATTGCTGCCAACTTTTCTTCCCAAATCAGACGTCTGGCGTGTTCTTCGTTTTTCTCGTAAGTTTTGTTAAATTTTGCCTTGTAATCAATATTAATAAATATCGTTAATATATTTTTTAGAAGTAAGCAGTAAAATTGTTTCGCTTAATTAATGATCGAAATCGAAAACCTTAAATATTNAAAATAGAAAATTATTAGTTATTACTCACGCATTGTACAGTTTACATAAACACTTTTTAATCACAATTGCCGTATTTAGTACCATATCAGAAAATTGGTTGAGTCCTGTTGTAAACGTGTGCAATCCCAAATCGTATTCAATGTTATGTTTTGTAATTGCTGCCAACTTTTCTTCCCAAATCAGACGTCTGGCGAGTTCTTCGTTTTTCTCGTAAGTTTTGTTAAACTTTGCCTTGTAATCAATATTAATAAATATCGTTAATATATTTTTTAGAAGTAAGCAGTAAAATTGTTTCGCTTAATTAATGATCGAAATCGAAAACCTTAAATATTTCCCAATCCTTGTCGTAATCGGGATTAAAAGGAAGTGTTTTTGCCGTAATGGCGACGAGAAGACAAGTGAACACGATTGCTTTCATCTGAGAAAAGAAATTTAATCATTTTCTATTGAAGACAGAATTTAAGAAACATTCCTTTAAATTCATAAACGTATAAAAGCGTAATAAGGTTTATATGGAAGAAAGAAAATCTTACCTCAGTGGATTAATTTTCCTGGATGGAGCTGCTGCTACTGACTCTGAACTCTTAAAATTTTCTGTTTTTCGATCGTTTTATATACACAAGAGTCAAACTCGTATCAGACTTTTTCATGTGATTCCAGATAAGACTTATCTAATCGTTCCAGAATCGTCGTCTACAACTATTTGCTGAAATTTCGCTAAAGTTTTATTTTAACTTAATACGGTTTGCTTTTGAAATATTTCCTAAATGAATAATACGATATGTTCTCAGATTTATATTTCTCCTTGATAAATACTATTGGCAGGTGTGGCCAGAAAAAAATTATTACGGTTGTAATTGTGACTTGTGAACAAATAAATTATTAATTGAAAAGAAATATTTNAACTCTTAAAATTTTCTGTTCTTCATCGCCTTATATACACAAGAGTCAAACTCGTATCAGACTTTTTCATGTGATTCCAGATAAGACTTATCTAATCGTTCCAGAATCGTCGTCTACAACTATTTGCTGAAATTTCGCTAAAGTTTGACTTTAACTTAATACGGTTTGCTTTTGAAATTCTTCCTAAGTGAATAATACGATATGTTCTCAGATTTATATTTCTCCTTGATAAATGCTGTTGGCAGGCGTGGCCAGAAAAAAAATATTACGGTTGTAATTGTGACTTGTGAACAAATAAATTATTAATTGCAAAGAAATATTTACACCACTTTAGTCTTTATTCAATCGGCCTGTTTCTTTGTCACTGATAATACAGAAATAATTTTATTAATTAGTAATTTAGAAATGTTTGAAATTATACAAAGAAAGAGACTTAATTTAAGGAAAAACATTATATCAAGTAATGCCTAATAGTTCCTTCTAATTTATATTATATTTTCTATAGTTTCAGTAAGTTGCGAATGTTAAAAAATCAAAATAGTTTTAANTATTACGGTTGTAATTGTGACTTGTGAACAAATAAATTATTAATTCAAAAGAAATATCTACACCACTTTAGTCTTTATTTTAATCGACGTGTTTCTTTTCACTGTTAATACAGAGATAATTTTATTAACTAGCAGTTTAGAAATGTTTGAAATTATACAAAGAATTGTATAATTCTTTGTATAATTTCAAACATTATACAAATTATACAAATTGTATAATTTCAAACATTATACAAATTTACGGAAAAACATTATATCAAGTAATGCCTAATAGTTCCTTCTAATTTATATTATATTTTCCATAGTTTCAGTAAGTTACGAATGTTATAAAATCAAAATAGTTGTTAATATTGCTGAATTGACATGTATACAAAGCAACGTTATATTAAACAAGANCACGTGTCGGGTTGTGATTGGAAGGATTCGTAAGAAAGCGGATTCCTAGAGAATGGAACGTATCTCTATCTTATAGGGGGGTCGACTGTATACATGTCGAACGAGGGAAGATGGACAGGATTAAGGCTTACCGTAAAGAACTCTGCTTCTATTTATACTATTTTAGATGCGGCTTTTAATAAGGTACGTCAAGAGAATGTACACTAAGGGATTTTTCGAAAATTCCCCCCACGGGGGAAGTGTTATACATTTATATTTATAATAGATACATTTTGAGCCACAACAACGCGTGGCGGGGTCTGCTAGTTTGGGTATAAAGGCATGTAGTAAGTTGCGTTATCAAGGTGACTAATCATCGATGATATTTAGCAGAACGAAACTATCTTTGTTATTGTTTTATTAGTAACATACGATTTTTTTGCTCTAATACTTCAAAAATTTTCTTTTTTTATCATAGGAATCACAGTCATGTGAATGCAAAACTATTCCTAAAGACAAACTACGAGTAACGGTTCAATACGAGTTTTTAGAAAAGTAATGTTGATAATTTGCAAGATAATGTATGCATGTTCTAAATGTATCGATTAAATTTACTTTAATAATCGAAATAAAATTTAAACGTTTTAACGTGATAACGAGTTTATTCCTCGTTTATATTTAACTTAAAATTTACTATGTTAAATACTGTAATTTATAATTNTAACTCGGACTCCGAGGAAAATATAGATTATCACGAAATCCAGACAACTTACTATCTGATTTGATACCCCTTATTAAGTCTTTGTCCGATCCGCATCAAATTTTTCATAGTCTGGGACATTGGGAAAAATATAGACTTTCACGAAATTTGATATCCTCGACACTTCGCGATAAGCATAACAACGGTAGGTTAAATTAACCAAACAAGTAATTTGATTTTCATTTCAACGTTTAGCCATTTTATCCGATTTTATTCTTGCATCCACCAGTCATTTTTAGTATTACTGTCAATACATCACTCCACATCATCCAAAGCAATCCACAAAGTACGGATAAAACTTTAAACTTCGAGGAGGGTAAGAATTTAGTTTCAAATTTCACGGTTTAGAGAACAGAGAGAACCCGAAGGAAGAACCTTGGTAAAACAATTGCAAGAGAACTATACAAGAGTTTACTCAGGAATATCCCGCATAACGGCTCTTTATACTTACAATCTTTATTTTTTCACAATAATTAAAAAATCATTGTGAAAGGAAACGAGAGATATTTGTGAACATTCTGATATTAGAAGAATTGTTTAAATATTTAAAAAGAAATTCAATTTCTAAGCTTAATTTTCTTCACTGAGGAAATTTCTCTGTCGTTATCGAGATCATATCACAGGATAACAACGTTGAGTCGTCCNCATAACGGTTCTTTATACTTACAATCTTTTAATTTTTTCACACAATAATTGAAAAATCTTTGTGAAAGGAAACGAGAGATATTTGTGAACATTCTCATATTAGAAGAATTGCTTAAATGTTAAAAAAGAAATTCAGTTTCTAAGCTTAATTTTCTTCACTGAGGAAATTTCTCCTACGTACAGATATTTGATTTTCTAAAAATTTCCGCAATAGAAAATACCAGTGCTGATGTATGTTCCTCATCTTGTGATGACCGAGTCAAATGACAGGAGAAGCTGCGCTAGTTTATGATACACAGCGACTCTTGCTGGAGCTTTTCTTAAAACTTTTTTCATTCTGAAATACATATGTTTGCTTGGAACATTTTGCACGAGCTGATTTACATACCAAATTAAAGGCGTGTGCTATGCTTGAATTGTGATTCGAGTTGACAAACATTGGTTTTAAACTCTTGAAAGCTGAGATCATGTAAGGTGCTTGATCTCTTAGGATAGCCTGTGCATTTTGATATTTAATGCCATCCGGCCTCAGTTTTATATAGGCATCATTAAATGCATGCATTACGTAGGAATTATCACACTTTTTACTTATGTATATTTTTAGGAGCATTGCATCTATCGATTTGCCTGTTACTGAAAGGTCACTAAAATATTCAAAACGAACCGTTTCATGTCACCGATTGTTTTGTCCACAAGAAACAAAACAAGATTATCTTTAATAATATTTTTTATATTACAGTACCGATTTTTTTGTTTCTTTCATCGGTTGAACATAACATTTTCTTGAAGTATTTCCATTGGGAATGGCTTTGTCAGTTCATCTCTCCAAAAACCTTTTCAAACTTGGATGGCTGATGTTAATTAGAGAAATCCCAGAATGAAAGAAAGCTGTTGCTAAAAATGAAAACAATTCGTTTCTGGACTATAATTACTTTCTGTCATGGATTTTGAAATAAAGGTTTGTTTTTTTTTCTTGGTTTTTTTGCTTTGATATCTTTCCGTTTGGTCAAAATAAGCTTTTAAAGACGTTTCGACTAGTGTTTTCGTCAATAATCGTCGTCACGTCACAAATATTACTTCTCAAGATAGTTCCACGAGTAACAATACCTTCTTCGACAAATCCTGCAGCTGGTTTTCTTAAATCTTCCTTCCTGCTAACTACTTTCGGCATTTCTTAAAAGAAATATTTTGCAATTAAATCAGTCAACATTTGAGACTAGGCTAGGAGAAAGCAAAATATCACTTTGGTCACGTACAAAATGCGACAACTCTTAAGCTGCTTTACTTTGAAGCAGTTTAGAAATTGTCCATAAATTATATAACGCGTTTTTAAGGAAATTTTGATTCTTTCCCTCCTGATAACCCTCTCCACTTATTTCCTAACATTTCAATTCCCCGAGAAGTATAAGAAAAAAAATCAATTATTAGACAGTGACGATGCGTGTCGGAAACCATCATTGCCAAAATGGACTACAAATGTAGTATTTACTTTATAATTTGCAATGCAAACAAAAAGTAAGACGCTATTATTAAAGTAGTTCAACTAGGTTCAAAACGCGTGGACCTGGCAATCCTGATCCCGAGAAATACTGCAAGTTCAAAAGAGGCTGACAATATTCGCCATTATTGAACATTGAACAACTTCGTCGATCACTGTTTTCGTCGTAGTGACCCGCACGTACTCTCTTCCAAATAAACATCCCTACGAACAGTTGACATTTATGTTTAGATTGTATTGTTCATTCACGGTTAGCAGCCAATTCCAACGCTTCTCGTGCCACAGGTGTAACTTAAATGTAAAGTTTCTTCGTCTACTTTTCAAATCAAATATAACGACATTGAATATTTGATCATATTTGGGTATAAAGGCATGTAGTAAGTTGCGTCATCAAGGTGACTAATCATCGATGATATTTAGCAGAACGAAACTATCTTTGTTATTGTTTTATTAGTAACATAAGATTTTTTTTGCTTTATCTCTAATACTTCAAAACAAAAATTTTTTTTATCATAGGAATCACAGTCATGTGAATGCAAAAATATTTCTAAAGACGAACTACGAGTAACGGTTCAATACGAGTTTTCAGAAAAGTAATGTTGATAATTTGCAAGATGATGTATGCATGTTCTAAATGTATCGATTAAATTTACTTTAATAATCGAAATAAAATTTATATGTTTTAACGT